CTACTCATTGTATATTGTTTTATGATATGGATACAATATGTTTCGTTTAGAGAGTTAGAACTGCCTTTCTCTTACAAAATGTTTCTGTTATGTTCTTGTTTATAACATTTTGAAACTTTTTTTTATTACGGAATAGTGACTACCAGCTTTGATTAAACTTTCACGTTTTTTAAATAAAATATTTTGTTCCTGCTATTTATATATTGGTTATATATTAATTTATAATTTACCGCGATTAGATCTTAATAGAATTCTTCACACATCATGAAGTCTATCCGCCATTGTTGTTATTGAATAATGATTTCCGATAATGAAATTGAATCTATAGCGTCCAGTGGAGCGTGGATGAAGACAGGTAGTGAAAATAGTTACAAGTGGAACAGCAACATTATATTAACCTGACTTCCTATTTGCGGCTTCGGCGTTTTGGGTGTCAAATGTATGGCGATCTCTTCAATTTCGATAAAAAAAATAGAGCAAAACTAAATAATAAATGAGAAAGTTGGTTTTATGTACAGATTTTCTTCAGAACAGATTTTTAACAACTATAGCACTCAAATATCAGTATCATGAAGACTGAATACATTTTTAATATATCTACTACAGTCCGCAGGGAATGCTGGGACAAACAAGTACCATCAAACTGTCATCCTTATTGCACCAAATATTCCCTAAGATGCTTCTCAGTAATTTAACTATTTTAGGATTATTCTAGAATCAAGATCTGTTTGTTATAAGAAACAAACCATAAAGGACTATTACTAATTTGAATATCACTTATAATTAAGTAACAAACAATATAAGAACAACACAATTTGCATCTCTGTATTGTTTAACAATGAAATGATAATTGCCATAATGACGTGACCTCATCATCTTAAGATACTGATGGAATAATAATCTGTTATATCGAGCTATGATAAATAGCATGTCCTTGAAAATTATAGGTTTCATCGAAATGCCAGCAAACGGAACTACTTACAATAATAACGACCGCATTGCATTTAAATATTAATGTCACATCACTAAAATTTATGACGATATTTGCATATTTGTTTAAAATTTTTGAATATCAGATGCTATAATAGTAAAAAATTTATATAACTTACCGAATAAATCATGAAAGCATCCGAACTATAATCACAAAATTTCAATAAACGTATTTTCAATGTCACCAACACAACACTAACGGGACACTCTGTATATGTAAAAGTCGCAAATAAGAAATCGAACGATGATCGAACGCAATTGGCAAGACGGTTTCTTCAACGTTCGTAATAAAATTCAAACTGGCCAATGATGTTACAGCGCGTGCGTCATCCACTAGTGACAGGCGCAGACTGACTGCTAAAGCCGTTTCCTAAATGACGATTAAGTTTAAACGAAGAGCCTTCACCATTCGAGTGATATCAGAGGTTACTGTCAATAATAAACCTTGGATATACGTAAGAGGTTATATTTTCATACAGCAGATAGTTGCCTTTGGTCGTTTTGATCACATTCCAGCAACTGCCACCTTGGTCGCCTTCACATGCGCACGAGTTGATTTTTTTGCGGTAACTTGTTCTGTTTTAATTTTTCTTCTTATTCGTTTTGTAAGTTCGATTCTTTCGATTCGAATAAAGATCCAATATGAAATATTAAACACCTTTACTTTTATTACATACTAGCTTTTGCCGCGACTTCGTCCGCGTGGAATAGTGACTTTCGGCAGATTTTTGGTTCTTCCCACATAGTTCCCGTTCTTGCGGGGTTTTCGGAATGGTCAAGTTCCCGTAGAATTTTCAGGATAAAACCTATGTTTTTTTATTCACAATGAAGTACTCTTAACCAAAAACATATTTATTTGTTTATTTAAATAAAGATTAATATTATTATGTTGATACAAGTTAAACAAATTATTTGGACCAAATTAGGTACTATAAAAACGGTTTTTGTGAGTTAATCGTAAAAGATAGACATATACTGTCTGGAACTGTTTTTTAGATCATTAAAAGAGCTATTATTCTTTAATACATATATTTTGTGTATCTTGAACCGTTTTCACGGCGCACGCAACGGAAGGCTTCAAAGATGAAATAATTTCTCCCGTTTTTTACACATTTACCACTATATCTTTACTTCTATTGGTTGTAGCGTGATGTTATATAGTCCACAGCCTTCCTCGATAACTGGACTATCTAACACAAAAAGAATTATTCAATTCGAACCAGTAGTTTCGGAGATTAGCGCTTTCAAACAAACAAACAAACAAACAAACTCTTCAGCTTTATAATGTTAGTATAGATTAGTTAATCAGTTCGTAACGAGAAATATGAACCGCAATTGTTCTACTTAGATATTAGATGAACGTGTTTAATTTCGTCAGTAATAGGCGGTTTTTTATAGAAAATATACAAGCGCAACGACAATTTGATCTTTTAGCGAGGAATTAAAATTACAAATATTCAAATTTTATAAAATTGAAGATGTTCTAGGGACATGAAAAAGTTCATTTTCCTCTCTATTTCTATTTCCTCCTGTTTGTAGCATGCGGATGTTGTAATGGAACGTCTAAAGCTATGATTAAATTTCTTTGCTTTCATTTCACTACCTTGGGAAATTAAAATAATTATTTTGACGCGATTGAAAACTATGAACAATATATTCAGTTTCCTAGTAATTAAATAACATGAAATTACAAGAAGAATGGTAATGATAAAAGCTTATGTATTATGTGTTTAATTGATGCAGTTTGTCTGGCTTTGCTTGTCAATAACGGGCCTATTATTAAATAAAAATAGGTAAAAAAACTTTTTAAGTTAAACGGTTCTACGTGAAACATACTTTGCAATGTTTAAGATAAATGTACTAAAAACCAAAAAATAATGAAATAGATACAGTCGTGGGAATTATAAACATATGCACAGACTAAACTAAAATAAAAGCGTGGGGCACGTCAATTGTCTACAATCGCCATTTTGTAGCGGCCGCCATCTTGAATTTCAATTTTTTATAGTACATTGTATTCTACTAGTTGAGTACTTTCAATTGATACCTATATTGATGGGATTGATAAAACATAAATTATCCGCCATTTTGTAGCGGCGGCCATCTTGAATTTATAATGATAATGAATAAACATAATTGTATTGTCACCAAAATCCAAAGTGTATACAAAATTTCAGATTAATCAGTTGACAGGAAGAGGGTGAAATTTGAATTACTAAATTTGACCCAAGAAAAATGAAAAAAGAATAAATAATAATAAAACAAACAGGGTGAGCTAAATAAAACCGTTTAATAAAAAAATACTATGAAATGTCCCAAATAATGCTGGTTTTAAGGATGTATGGGCTACAACACCGCTTAAGGATTACCTTGTATATTATAACCATTATGGTTGTATTGTCATTCATCCTTTCTTGAAATGTCTGATATTCTTTCAACATTCAAGTAGCTTTAAACATGGAGATTGTATAACATATAAATATTTAAATTAATACGTATAACCAATAAACAAATATTTATCCTATTTGATCATTAGTAACAATGATGTCATTCATAAAATGGTATGTCAAGACCTTATAGTTCTAATAAATAAGGATATAATTGTACATACTAATAAATGCATTGCGTGTTAAGTTAAACGATAATTTCTTCTTAAGCATATAAAACATGTAATAGTTAGCATCTTGACTAAATATCATTTTGTTTCGATGTCCGAGAGAATATGAAGGTGACATACAAATATTAAACGCAGTTCGAAATACTGTTAATGAAAAAAATATACAAAAAAACTGGTAGAACCAGTGCCTTTGACTATGGTTATGCTCTTGGGTATTTTGTGTTGAATTCGTAAGTAATATGAAACATTTATATGCGAATTAAATACGGTATGTCTGGAAAGGTTTCCATTATAGTAAATTAAAAAAAATACAATAAATACTGCTGTGAGCGGTTCCATTGTTAGTTAAATATAATAACTGTAATGTGTACATGAAAATAGATCGATTGACTTAACGGTTCGCTCTGTTGTTTATTTTAGTTATACATGCTGATGTTTGTCATACTATCGCAATATCTAGGAATAGATATCAAAAAAATAATTAATAATTTTACCAAGCAATTATACAATCATATTGCATGTTTTGATTATCATTATCATCATGAGCCACAATAAATTTATGTTACATTTTATTTTTAACAGAATTTTATAATACTGTAATAAGTTTATGAACTATTATATGTAATATAATGCCTATATAAAAGAAATATAATATGATATATTTGTCAAATCTCATATATATTTAACCGGATAGAAGATGTTGTCTGTCCGCATTCCATGATTGTATTCGTAATGCCGTTGGACAACATTGCTTTTGATTTTCACGCATCATTTTAACTTACGATACTATAACTGGAAACTTCTTTAAATTTAAACTAATTACTTATAGTTTCACATGAACTCAACTAACAGTAGATTACGTCATAATTGAGATACATAGGAAAGAAAACACGAATACTTTATTTAATATTTTGTAATCCATCTACAACTACGGTGACTAGATAAAGATGTCTATTAAATTTCTATAATATAGAATATGCAATAAATTTCTAGGAACTAAATAAGTCAATATTGACATAGACTGACATTTTTATAAATAGTAGCAAATATAATTAGATTTATAAATTAATACATTGATAAAAATATCTGATATAATATTATATTATGGTTTTGTAATTTAAGTTATCTTAAAGTTATTTTTAAAGATACCTTTAGTAAAGATGCAAAATTAGGCAAATAATGTATTGTATGTATTGTTTTAAATGGTATTAAACAAATATAGTGATAGTTTCCTACTGACATCAAGTGATTTAAGATAAAAAATGTCTATAAACATTAATGCAATCTTGTTAGGCGATATTTGAGGCCTATTATATGTATTTTATATCTTGTGTAACATTTAAGGTATATGATAAAATGCGTTGTAGCTGTATGCCATTTGTATTTTGCATGTTTAGGCTGATTTTCTTGTTAGGAACCAGGTTTGCATGGGTTCTGCTTTCCCCTTCATTGAGACATGACCACGGTAAGTCAATTCAAATTGCTCATCATAGTTATCTGGACCCATTAAGTAGCTGAAATGAATAAAAACTCAGATATTATAAAACTGATTTCAACATTTTTAAATAATTAAATCAAACTTTTTACTTAAAGTTGTTAATTACATTTAGTGTCAATTTTGTACAACAATGTCACATTTTAAAAATATGTAATCCACCCAGGATATACAAAATTAATTTAAAAGGTTTCCCAGTGATGTAACCAAAATAAGCAGATTACTCGCATTTCTAAGTCTTCGTAGATACTAACAGGAAAGAAAGTACTGATTTAAATCTATTACTAGACAAGCTGTCGTTCGAACCACGTCAAAATATGAAATACAATAATAAATAAGTGCTGTCTAAATGTTATTTCATATACAATAACCAAACACGGTGAAGAAAGTGATAAATTTTTAAATGTGAATGTGATCTTAGCGACTAAATATGGATTCTTTTATGGATTTCTATTTTGAAGAAGTGTTTGCCCATATTGAGCGAGATGGTCTGAATGAGAGATATAAGAGAAGAGAATTAGTCGAGTATTTCCATTCAGTTATCGCAGGATGTGCCAAAGGTTAAATTTTTAATATTAAAATTTGTGGGGTTGAATCTTTTCTAAAGTATTATGTTTCAGGTCAAAACCAGTCAGATAACGAGACTTGTAAAGCTTTCGTGTCATCTGCGGTACGTTTCCACAATCGTTGTAAATCAGCTAATGGCGATGTTTGTCTTATGGGAAAGTATCATAATCTTCTATACATTGCTATGAAGCTGGCTTTTGATTGGAGTCTTCAAGACAATGGAATGGTCGGCGCATTATTGGATGAATTGTACGCTTGTGAAGGAACATTTGAAAGAATATTTCTCGGTTTGTATTATTTTACTTAAATATTAATTTGCTAATGATTTCACGATCGGATCAAGGCCCGAAATAGAGCCAAAGTGACTAGGATAATATTTTATTGAGAAGTTTGGGAAATGTCTTTTAGCTATATTTTACAGAATCAGCATTATACTCATATATAGTCGTAATTAATATACCCTAAAAATTTAATATATTTCAGGTGCAATTTTCGGGACATCAGCTCCATATTTTCTAGCTGGTTGGAAATCTGATTTCTCGGATAAAGAAGAAAATATTCATGCTCTCGTCTTTTTTCTTGACCACGCGACAAATGCAAGCTTAGAATTTAATGATGGTTCAAAGAAATATCGCTTTATCGATGTGCCTTTAGAAAGTTGTGGAAAGGCTTCCCCAGTTAGAGTTGTGATACAAATGGGAGCATCAGAAATTTTGATGATACTATTAAGGTTTGGGGCCCAGTTTACATCAGATCATGTTTCTTCAAACCCGGTCGAATGTATTCTTGACAGACTAAAGGAGTATAATAGGAAATATCCTTATGAACTGGTAGCATGTCTTAAACTCGCGTTAAGAGCAGTTCCAAGCCTCAGTCTAACAGTCGACAAACCAGCTTTAAAACATTTAAACTTACCAGACGATTATAATTATCAAAGGAAAATTGCCCTTGAAAGATACGGTGAAATACTTGAAGATCATTTATTACCTAGTTCACGATGTGGTTTGAAACCAGTGGAGTTGAAACATCTTTGTAGATGCCAAATAAGACAAATGTTGTGGCAAAATTTTGAGCTTCCATTCGGTATTCAAAAACTTCCTCTACCCATTTCACTTAAGAAATATCTAGATTTGTTCGACGATTAAAGTTTATGAAATTATAATTGTTTTATTTATTACTACAGTTATTTTTCTAACTATAAAATATCTGATAATTTTGTTATGAATGATATGTTTTATATAGTTTTATCATATATATACAGGGTGACTGGTGAATTACTATCGATATTTGAGGACGTGATATTTGACGATCATATATGACAAAATAAAAATTAATATAACATAAATATTAATAAACTTCTAAATAAAGTTAACCAAAAGTTATGTAATTAATTACGCATCGTATGAACACCCTACAGATTAGGCATACATACACACTCACACAGACGCGGCGGCGGCGTAGTGTTGTATCAGCACGCCGCCGAACGCGTCCATACTTGGAACACTTTGAACGTGTACACACTTTATTTATTTATACGGAAATTTGGTCAAAAATTAAGTACCTATTTTTTTTACATAATTCGAATGAGAATCATGTACCGAGTATGCTCCTTAAATATTGATAGTAATTCGCCAGTCACCCTGTATATATGAAAGAAAAGAACAAGTGATCTACCTGTATGTGTCTTCACTGACGTTAATCGTTCCAGGCACACCAGTTGTCTCACAGCGACTAGTTAGGTTCACTGTGTTTCCAAACAGACAATAGCGCGGCATACGATGTCCTATTACACCAGTAACAACCTCTCCGGAATGTATACCAATAGTTATTCCCTTTAAATAATAAACGTTAAAGTTTATAATATGTTCACAATATAATAAAGGCACATATTAATTAGAAGTCATTTAAATACCACTGGTTCTCCATCAACAGTTACAGTTCTTGAAAGATCCATCATCTCGAGGGCGAGCAACGAAATATGTTTTGCATGGGCAACTTTATACTCCGGGAGCCCCGAAACTGCCATGTATTTATCACCAACAGTTTCTACCTATTATTTAAAAAAAATTGCTTGAATTAACATTATTTCAGAAAAGAAACGTTGTATTACAGTATTTTTTTTAAATTATGCACCTGGATGTCAATCACAAATTGTAAGATATTAAAAAAAGAGCCTTTGGTGGTTTACCTTATACACATTAGGATTCCTTTTTGGATCAGTGAGGACGTCAAATGCCGTGTACAGATCATTCAGCATTTTAACAATTTTCATAGCTCCTTTGTGATCAATGTTCCTCGCGCAATAATTAGCGAAACCTACAATACCGCTGAAGAGAAGAGTTACGGGGTCATATCGACGAGCTGGTACAGGGCGGCGATGGCGCAATTCCGTTGCTACGCTTATTGGCAGTACAGAATACAGAAGACTGAAAAAGATAAAGAAAATAATTACTATTTCTGAAAATCTCTACTACAGTGTTAGTCAGTTAACTGTCAGTTGAGAGTTCCTCTGTTTAAATAAACTTTTAATAACAATATATTAACAAAGCAAATAAACTACCGATCTGTCTTCTGTTTTTCTGTCTCCAGTTCCCGGAATGTCTGCTGTAATTTGTCCGTCAACACTTCAAGGTTCTGGGTCAGTTTATAATCTGCTTCAAATTGCTCCGACATGAGAACTAAATCTCTTGTAGCGTCATGCAGAGGAATGTCAGAGATACAAAGACCACGACTGTGGGGTATAATATTCAGTAAAGGTTAACATAACTCAATAAACTAAAGTAGCGAGTAAAATAAGATATATTGTTTTAAAAAAATTAAAATTTGCATGTTTACTTACCGAGTTAAGTCATCAAGATTAGTGACGCTGGGATAACATTGGAATACTACCACATCCGTTTCGGGAATATATAGCATTTGGCCCTGAAAATAATTTTAATAAAAATATAATAGCAGTTCTTTAATAAAATTATATCAACATGTTTTGAATTTCATACCTTCAAACGCAAAGAAGCGATTTCCTCATGAGGATCGTTCACTGTCATCTCTTCTGACTTAGTTTTAAGAACATAGACAGTATTGATGTGCGCCAACACATTCGCAAAGGTCATTTCCAAATGTGGGCGAACCTAAAATAAGTGATGCTACTGTTTTATTCTTATATAATTTTATAAAAAGCTTGCAGTTAAAAATGGAATAGAATAGAAAGAACGTTGTATGTAATAGATCAGTCAAGTGTGACTGTCATTAATTATTTATAGGAAAATAGAAATCACTATTATCTATAGTTTCAAAACAAGCAAAAAAAATACTTGAGACAGAAAAACAAAGCCTACTGACACCAAGTTTTTTTTATATATGTTAATTCAATTCATATAACACTTACTGTTTCGAGAACATCTGTTATTTTGCACCCGGGACGAGTCACCCGCGGCAAAAGACGGGATACAGTACGTCCAGCTTGTACGATGTTCAGATCACGATCAAACATCAAATGAAATGGAAATACGCGACAAAATGTTGCTGGACTGACTTTGGGGTCTGAAAAGTAAAAATATTTAATTTACTTACATTTTTTTTGTCTTTTTATTGAAGAGACTACTATACATTTTTCAAGGTTATCTAATCACAAATAGTGCATATTTTTAAAAACGATTGGTTTCATAGTTTTTATCCTTTCGGAGTTTTCCGCAAAGAGCTTCTCATATTAATGCATACTTGAAAAAGTACGAATACATATAAACACCAGCTTTATCATTTATAATATGTATTGAACTAAGTGTTAATTTAGAAATTATTATACAAAAAATTACCCAACGATAGAGTTTCAATTTCAGCGATCTCGGGGATTGAAACCCGACCAGTGTTGGATGTTTCAGTGATAAGGAACTGCACATGATCACATTCTTCTTTCGTCTTCAAAATTTCCACTTTCACCTCTGTTTTATGAAGTTTACTAGTGACGGTCTAAAACAACAAAATTTGATTCACTTTCACTTAAAGAAACAATGTACACAGGGTACATCTATAAAATATTTTCGTACAATGATTTAATATGAAATGACCATCCAAATACTATCAAACTGCTGGATACAACATAATTTGATGGCATTATATCTTTGATCAGTTTTCAAGATTTTATCGAGGTGCTCAATGAATCGGTAACTGTATGCCGATAAAATACGTTTAATGAATTTCATTTAATTTGTTATGTAATTTCTTCTTCATACCTTAACAATCCCGATCACGATGTGCTCCAATCCAGGTCTATCTGAGTAATAATGAAGGACAAGGGCGCCGTCTTCAGGTCTCTCGGTGCAACGGAATGAAGGCGCACGCATACCAGGATATAAAGTGCCCAAGTGATCGTGAAGACCATCCAAGTTCTGTAATAATTTTGTAAAGCATATCAACTTAACGTTTCTTTGGGTTATATGTTGCAAATAAATCCTTAATACACTTTAGGAAATGCAAGATATTACAGTAAGAATAGTAGAAAGTGAAACGTACTTGCAAAAAATCTCGGGGCGTTGCGCCGAGGACTTGCAGGATCTTATCATAGCCAGAATCCTGACAGAATTCGAAGAATGTCATCCCGAATAACTCGAGAATTGCATCGGCGGGTTTCTCTGTAAGAGATTGTTATGATTTTAATATTTTCATATCTTTATTCTTTAATGTGTTATAGAATAATTCAATATATATAAACGTAGTTTTTGCCATAGTTATTTTACCATAGTTGTTTAACTTACCGAGGATCTCAACAGCAGCAGTGATCAGGTTATATGTTATCTCATCTTCATAAATCTGGCGAACTAAGAATGATCCCTCCATAGCTACTTCTGCCTTTTTCCTATAAAAAACATAAATTCTTTTTAAGAGACATTGTGCCTGAACAATGTTCATTGAAAACAATATTGTAACAACTTCTACAATGATATTAGTTGATAATAGATAATATTCTGATAATCATTATTGGTATTATTGCCATATTGTAAATTAAGTTAATATTATTGTACATACTTTATTTTCTCCCATATCTCCTCACCATAGGTTTTCGTAACCAATAACTCAAGTGCGTAATTCACAAAGCCGTACTGAAAGAAAGTACATATATTAAAAAGTCAAATTCTTATTAACTAAAACAGACTTTCATTAGTTAGACGTTTGGACTAATTTACACTTAGCGTGATTATAGGCAAGCGAGAGAAAAGTGACGGTAGTTAGTTTTTTTTTTGACTTTTTTTTACGTACTACCCTGAATGCGCGCAAAATAATAATGGGCAAGTTTCAATGCTTCTTTTAATAACTTCAAAATTTCAAATAAAACTATAATAAAAATTGGTAGATTAATAAATTAATATTGATAGTGATAAATAAAAAGACAATGTTAATTTAAAAGTTATACAAAGTGTTTCATACTTTTTCATCGACTAAAATATATGTTATTAAAGAGGAATATAGAAAAGATAATTTAAAACATATACATATGCTTAGACAAGGTTATGAAATAAGTGAAGCGATTTTTGTTTAAAATAACTACATGGCAACAAATTATAAAACTGCGTACGCATTGATTGTTTTAATTGCTAATGGTTATACCGACACTTTATCTATATATATATAAAAGAAAGTCGTGTTAGTTACACTATTTATAACTCAAGAACGGCTGAACCGATTTAGCTGAAAATTGGCAGGGAGGTAGTTTAGAACCAGGAAATTGCAATAGGATACTTTTTATCCCGTTCGACAGCATTCCCGTGGGACTTGACATGAAACATCAGTCATTATAAAACGTGGAATAACGAAACACAATTGACAGCTATGCGATTGACGTATAATGACAGATATGTAATTTAGTATTTGCGGAATAAATTTAGAAAATCATTGTTTTTCACATGGGCAGTAATAGTTTGTGTGTTCACGAGTTGGGAAACCATCCGGTTTATTTGTGTTAACGTTAGACCAAAAAACAAAAAATGTGGTTTACAAAGGAGCACTTCAATGAAACAGATAATTTGCGGACACGTATAACGCTTCGATTCGGTATCTACTTTGGATTCACTTTCATTTACTTAGAGAAATTCAACTAAATAACACTTCCGTTTTATAATCGAAATGAATTCATTACTGTTGTGAAATGAAATAAATATTTTCCTTTTCAAATATAAAACAAAAAAAAATTCTTCATCTTTTAATCACCAAACGAAATGTTACATAAAACAAAGCCTTCTGGAGGCGAAACGGAGTTCGCCAGGTTTACTAGTTTAGTATATAAGTGAAATATATATTACAGCATTTTCGAAAAGCAGCAGGAACAAAGTCAGGGAAAACTGTTCACTTGATAGCTATCCACGATGCATCACAGACTGATACACACACACGCACACACACACACACACACACAAATACATACATATATCCATTAATTACCAACGTCGTTAAGTGACAGTCACAGGCTAATAAATTACAAAATGAATAACTATACCTATACTATAAATAAATTAAAACTATATTAAAATCACTCACCATTTTATAAAGCTGTTAAAATATCTGTAACCAAGAACATAAAAAATATAATTATAAAGTCGTATTCATTACATTCTTTAATAAATGAAGTCATGATTGAATACAAAATCATTTCATCTTTTCACCCCGTTTGTTTACTTTTCATTAGCGGGAAATCCAGGCCGTTCTACAATCTTTTATAAGTTGCCTGGGACAATACCGCTTTAAAAAAATATTACGCTCAGAATAAAAAGTATGCATTAAAGAAATTGCATTTGGTTATTGAATGTAAAATAACTGTTATGATCCGATTGGGTCATGCAAAAAAATGAGTCAATCTCATACATATAATATGTATTCTAACTGTGCTCGGTCTTTTGAACACAATGACATGACACCCTTCTCGAGTGGCGCATGCGCAGAACAAATAGCGTCGACTTTATTTTCCGCTCTTTTCAGGCCGAAATATGCGTTTGGCGTAGTGTAAACAGATTAGATTAGACCTTTTTAAAGCAAGGTAAGAATTTTATTTTATTTAGGCCAGGTTAGGCTACAACTAGAACTATGGGATGGTTTAGGAAATGTAGTGGTCAAAGTATAGAAAAAAATTTATATGCCTATTTAAGATAGATTTCCTTGTGTCTAGGGGTTAAGTAAATACACGTTATTTTTATTCCGCAACGAAAAATTTTTGTTCCGAAATAAAAATCCTTACCAAATATTTGAAGTAAAAGTTTGTATGAATAAATTATCCAAATCATTTAAATCCAAATTATGAATTTTATTATAATTATTAGGATTGCTATCTAAATTGTATAGGTTAAAAAAATAATTTAACATTAGGTTCTCTTTATTATTTCTGTCAAGCGTCATCTATTAGCATGAAGTATAGTTAAGAAAATCCTGAAGCAAAGTTAAGTTCGTCTATTGCTCACTAGAGGGAACTGAACGAGCGCATTAAACTGATTTCATGAAACAGACTTAACATTTAATTACATATACATATTATACATACGTATATTTATTAAAATAATATAAAACTTTGATAAAAACTATAAAAACAAAACAAGATTAAATATAAACTAATTGAATTATTTAAAAACATGAACACAGAGATGTGATTTTGTCTTTTATTTAGGCATAGAAATAATTATTGTATAAAAGAAAATTGTAAGAAAAAACAATGATTTTTCCAAATAATTTAAACTTTTACTTCTTGAGTTTCTCACGTTTTTATTATAAGAATGAAATAAAATTAAATGTGAAAACAATAAGATCTATATAGTTTTATTTATTCAACTTACGTTAATGTCCCAAAATATATAGAATTAGGTAATTCTTAGTGTCCACTGAAGCCATATATTTATAGTTACGTAGTAATTGTTTTTTGTTAAGGCCGATACAAATTCTCACACAACTGAACGCACCATCAGTTTGGCGCAAACTGACATTTTAGAGTTGGTTCACATTGAACGGCATTGCGCATGCTCCGAAATTAAATGTATTCTTTACATATATTTATTATATTTGAAATTATTTGTAGAAAAATTTATTTATATGGATGTTTAGTTTCTCACTAGCTTAATAACTGAATTGTAATTATAGTGTCAGTTCTATATCACGTAGTAACTTTTTTAGTGACATCTAGTGAATAAGTTTCTAAGCAGTAAATAATGCTACTGCTTAATAGATGTCGCTACAAGTAATAACCTGCAAGTATTAAAATTAAAAATTGTCAGTTTGAAATAAAACATTGTTTAAGTTTTTAAAGAAGTTTTATAATTAAATCTCATATTTATATATGTATGTAAAATCTTCCACTATATTTTTATACGTACTCCCATATATGTGATACAGTCTGGGGGCAGCTTCTTACCTTTAAAATTATGACTTCCTTCTATTGTTATATGATTAAAAAACAAGAGATGCTGTCATGGTGCATTTATTATTATTATAACAACCAGACATAGAGTTTTACGATTGTAAAGTGTGTCATTTATGCGACCTCATGAGTTTTTATAGCGTACCATGTCATAGATTAAATTGTTAATATTCTACAATTATATTTCAATAAATAAAAAAGTTTTTCTTTAAATTATATGAGACCAATAAATATGTTTTATATAGTCCTATAACTTTTCTGATGGAATAGTTGAATTATACAAAAAGTTATCATTAAATTTAAAGTCTAAGCTGCAATTTCGATATATTTTCGTTAAGAATCACCAAAGTATGTTAACATAGGAAATTTCCATCAATAATTTTTTTTTTGAGCCAAGTATATATTGTTAAAAGTTACAAAAGTCTATATGACTTTTAGAGATTGGACAACGTTTTTAAGACCTTTGATAGTTTTTTAAATGTATGTGTTTTTTAAACTTCTGATATTATAAGAATTTATGAAATGAATAATGATGATAACTCCTTGCTTCCTAACCATTATTACTCAGGAGTTTCAGAAATATTGATAGAATTTAGCTTATCCTTTCTAACCGTCCTAGTAGTAAAAAATATTTCTTAGATTACTTTACCAAATATTTGGTTTAAAATACAAAAGCGAATTGGTTTTTAAAACAATCTTAAGAATTTAATCTCCCAAATTAGCAATTCTTGATAATTGATCATTTACATAATATGTTCTATTATAGTAAGTTTACAATGTAGGTCAAATTAAATGCTAAATTCTACAAATAGTTATTATAGAAAAAAGAAATTACATCAATTATTAATCTCAACAAATAGCTTAAAGTTTTCTATGTCAAATAAGTTCAATATTCATTCCCAAAACAACGAGTACACATGCTTCGTTGTTAAATCAACACACCCTGCTTCGTATTTCACGCCATCACGTAATTAACCACACCTCCACTTTATGGAGGCCTCATTGATATTGTAAATCTCCTGTAACATAGGACGATGAAAGCCTTGTCTTTCATTAATAAATGCCTATGATTTTACTATAGGTATGATTTGTATTGGAGAAGTGGAAATGGATAATATAAGAAAGTGTTATGGCAATAATCTTTATGAGACAATAAAAGCGAAAGTCGATTTGTCTCTTGTTATTTCTACCAGAAGATTCTTTTTTGATATATCCGATTACTCGATGAGTGTAAAAACAAGTTAACAACCAAAGTATTTTATAATAAAATTTTATTATACATTTTAAGAATAATTTACGACAATTATTGTAAATTTCTATTAATAAAGCTTCATATTTTCCTCTTTATTCCATTATAGATGTTAGTCATTGGATATTTTTCTGTAACAGAGTGAAGGAAAAATGTTTGAAACTCCAAAATCTTGTAGGCTCAAAAATTAAAACGAAAAATGAGGATTTTTTGATTTATAAATTATATAAGTATACATATATAATACACATTCCAATCGGTTCTAACTTGCAGTTATTTATAATTTAAATCACTAATAAGTTCTTAAAATTAGAACGTTCCCTGAAACATATTGTAAAAAAGGCTTGAATAGTTTTTCACATAATGTATCCATTAAAATTATTAAAAGAATTTTATTCCACATTTCATAAACACATTACTGGATTTCTTCAAAAATTCAAGAGAAAATATAGCGTACATAAAAGCGTTATTGAAATTCCTTCTTGAGGGTTCAGTGCAAGGATGCATTTGATATTGAAACCTCGAGTATGAAAATATCAAACTGAATATTTTGTAACTATGAATAAAGTAGTAAATATGTAAGTATGATTTGCATGAACAACGTATTTCGTTTGTACCTGTAAAGTCGCACTTCTTTAGTATTGATCCTATTTCTTAAGAAAATAAAAGTAATAACTACTGCTTAGGAGAAAAACCGTGAGTATTTTAAGCCGTTATGGATAGAAAATATAAAAATATATTTTAATGAATTGCTATGACCTAAGTCCACCTTGTCATCATTGTATTACGCTTTGTGATGTCAGAGTCACAAAGGGATAATACTTATATTTAATTAAATATTCATTGTCATATACTATCATACAACGTAGAAGAAAATCAGCATAGGATCCATTTTATCATTTGTTTCGATTCTAATAATAATTAGTTGCTACCCCAGACGCTTATACATATGTGGATATCTCTCACTTTTTGTGTTTTTCGAATTAAAAGGCAAAAAAAGTCTTAAGGACTATTAATGTACATGTGTGTTTTATTACGTATTATTCTAGATTTGACTAGATCATCTACTATGTATTTTATAGTTATTGAATTATAAGTTGCCGTCCAGGCGAGGCTTATATATTAACTCAATTAGGGCGCTTAGAAGGCGATCGCTTGTTAACATTGTAATAGGGTAAGTACTAGTTTAAATCTACGTCGTTTTAAGGGATACAAAGTGACCTACTGAAGTGCAGCAATTAAAATTATACAGTATATACAAGGGTTTGATTAACTCGATGATATCTACAAGAAAAGGCAAAAGTATTGTTTTCATTAATACTTGTACTAAATACGTTCTTCAGTTATGTAGACAACAAACTCATATTTGTACGATGCTAGGTTCATATACTAAAGTTGTAAATTAAAATCGTATCAACTTTTATGGATATTTTGTGATTATATGTAATTTTCCCATATTTTATGGTCTGGGGACAGTCTTGAAGCCGCACCCGGTTCCTCTCTGTTTTAGACAGTGGAGTGGCTTCTTGGTTTTGAAAAAGTATTACCCATTTTTAGGGAAAGTTGCTGAGTTATTGTAAATATATTTTCTCCATTTTTTTGTTTTATCTTCCTTCTTTTTTCTATAGCGTTGTGTAGTAGTGAGACTTTTAGGTGTTTGCATCAATCGGCACCTCAGTCTACCTGTGGGTACTAAAAGAATGAACCTCACCTGGATTTAGGAACTTAGGTCCAGTCTACTCGTGGGTACAGTCTAGAAACCTTAAAGCTTACAAGCCCAGAGAGTGATATGATGCCTTCAGGTGCGGTGGCACTCGTCCGCGGGGTAGTAGCACATAGAGATTGTAGGCACTTCAAACTTTACTATTAACAAGCGTTTATAATGACTTGGAGGAAGAAAATGGGCTTGTAATTAAGTCTCGGGTGGACGACATGGATTCCGGGTCTTAGTATGAAGTTAGGTGAGGAATAAATTATCTTTTCAGGTCACTTTATCCTCTTTATGGGTCGAAGGCCTATTTTGAATTATCTGTCGAGTCCAGTCGCTTCTGCAAAATGCAACATTGTTTTTCTGGTTTACGATTCATAGCACACCAGATCCATGGGGTCTGGAAGTAGGCCTGACCTGATCAGAGCCGCTTTATGAGCCTTCACTCAGGAGGCAAATAAATCGGCTTGGAAAATGTGTTGCAGCACTTTAAAAACACAGAAATATCGCAATGAGGTGACAAGTAAATGGGAAAGTAATTCCGTGATGTCTAGCTGTGATGAGGAGTGTAACTGTTGGTTGTTTTATTTGGTATCTAAGTAGGCATTTGTCATGTGGGATGGCCCAAGTTGACTTACATTTTTGCCGGGAGAACCCATATTACTATTCCGGCTATCGCATCTGGTCGGTTATATAATAATGTATTTTTCCATTGATAAAAAAGTCTAATACGTATATACGTATATAGGTATAATGTATATATATTTAACATTCACTTACTGCTACTTACTTGATAATTTGGAGGATATAAAAGAATTCTTTTTAAATGCCCATTTTAATGAATCAAGTTTCGTAAGTAATTACAAAATTAAAACTCCAATCCTTCGAGGGTCACCGGTAGAAATTATTAATATTCATAAGCAAAGCCTTTCAGAATTATTAATTCAAATTATTTATATTTTAAAAGAAATGTTTGCTTAAAAGATACGTAAAATAATGTATTCATGAATTTGTTGTACAAGTTTTGTTTGTAAGATGGAGAAATAGCCAGTACTTTGAATATCATAATATAAGTTCTCATATAACATTACTTTATAGAAAAGTCGTGGTTATGTTTAAATGTTTCTTGTGGTATCTTTCTCGGCGGCATACCTCCATCCGATGATCCAAATTTTCGGTGATGCTGAGACACAATTGACCGTCTATGCCGTTAATGTGCCGAATTATCTCATCCTTTAGCTATTAAATTGTTGCGGGCCTATCGAGGTACATTTTGACTATTATTCAACCGAAAAAATTAAAAAGTCCATGATATGCTTTTGATTTGAACGCCCTTTTTACAATAAGTCTGAGTAACTTTTATGCATTGCTCGATTGAATATTTATCTATGGATCACATTTCTCATATGGCTTTCTCATATGGCACAGAAAAAAATGATTATTAGGTGTGGTTTAAATTCAATATCGGCTCTTTAAATTTAACCACCCGTTATATCTTAAGTTCATACCACAATGGAGAACTATTTTGGTAAACTGTTGCAAGTACATACAGTTTTCCTGCAACAAGTTGCATCTTTAGTTTCCAAAACTCAATGAACTCTCAAGTATTTTTAAGTTAATTTTGCATGCTACTTATTAAATTATTAACTGCCATTTTTTCCACGTCATTATTTGGGTTCTTTCTTACATTTCATAAGTTCGTTATCCATATAAACAGTGTTACTGCAATCTTAAAAACTTTACAGAAAACTGACAAAATTGTAGTCTGCTTAAAACATTATTAGTCTTCGGTAATACATCTTTAACACACATCTAACACATCTCTTTTGCTTTCAAGAATTTAAAGGTTGTGGCTATTAAAGAATACTTATTTTTAATATTTTTTTCTAAACACTCCACACTGGTATCACTGTTACTATGATGCCGGATTATGAGAGCGATAAACACTTACAGTATCTAAAATGAAAAGTATAGTTAAAGTACTTACATTCAGCTCTTTTTGCAATGCAGTGTTTTTTGACCTTTTTTTTTTGTAGGAAGCAGGTATTTCATATATTATATACTTATTACATTATTTCGTATGTTACTGCATTATATTTATAAAGTTATCAGTGATATTCAGTATCAGGAGGATGTCACAGGTACATGCAATATTCATACATCCAGCCTACGTTACAATATCATTATTAGTGACAGGGACGTCTCATTTTGTTCCGCCAATAGTGAAGTGTTTTAGAAAATTGTGACGTAATGTAAATATTACTACTTTTAAATAAATAAAATTAATAATCAAAACATGATTATTTGGAAGAATATATTATATAAGCAATTCTTTAGCAATAAAAATTACTTTTTACTTTTATTTTACGTTACAAAATTCCCTATTACATTCATATTATGTTACAAAACGATGTATTTTCAAAATATGACTACATAATACTCTTATTTGTTATTTAATAGTTAGTATGCATTACGGAACAAACTGTTGAAGTTCTAACTGTTTAATGTTCTATATTATTATAATTGATGTGAATGAAGTTTGACATACAAGTACTCAAGTTTAAGATTCGTTTTATTTACTGAATTGGATCAATATTCAATGTAATACTGAGTCTATTCACGCCATCAATGGAATGACTTTGTATTGAACCGCTATTGACATTAAAGATTCGTACCGTTGAGGTCACAGCATTTACAGTATCTACATACTTCTGGCAGCGATTCAATAGACGAACCAGGAATTCGATGTATAAATATTCCATACATGTCTTTACTCTATTTATCATTTCTCTTTTATATATTGTAAATATCTCAAACTTCTTATGATATTTATAAGGAAGGTTTTTTTGTAGCATTTCATTCAAATATAAAGGATTTTTAAGAGGATTATGTGCGGCTTTGTAGGCGACATCGCTCGATTTAAAATTAGGAAATATCTAGGTTTTTCTAATTTTTCCCTGAGAGAAACCATCAACAGTTTTAAAAGACTTTTTAAATATTTTTGTTTTAATGTGTATCATTAATTTTGTACATAAAAATTTTATTTATGTAATAAATCAATTCTTTTTCGACTATTGCTTTGTTAATTCTTAATAGTTATTAAATTAAAAATTACAACACATATTTATAATATAAAGCTACCTGTGTCAATTATAATTTATTATTTAATATGCAATTTGTATTCTTTTTAGACTCGTTCTTTTAGGATTAATCTATTTACAACGTTAAGATATTCAAAGATGATATAGACTAGTATAAAGTGGCTTTTTATAAATGAGCTAAATACCTTTTAAATAAATGGCGAAGCCCATTTGAATATAACCGCTATTTCGTTTCCATTATATAAAAACGTAAAAAGGGGACAAAAGAAAAAATTTGCATTAAGCACTACGATGAGATCTGTTATCAGTGACGCAATTTAAAATTAAACTTTTTATGAATGCGTTTAAAGTCCATATTCATTTGATATCACTGTTACATCCTAGACGTGATTAGGTTGAAGAATTTTTTGCTAGATTACTACTGGAAAATGGAACAATGTTCAGGCTCGAGGCGGAATTGGAATCGAGTAATTATAAAAGAGATGCAAATACGGCCACCATGAGCCCCTTTCAAAGCGGGACAATATTAACATTTCATGTAGCTCATAAAACTACGATTATATTTGCATATTCATTATATATTCAACAGCGATATTCTGGTGTCCAATCTTCTCAATATCAAGCATTTATTTCTATGTCGACCTACATACATACTTATTATAAAAATATTTTGTACGCGTCTAAAAATAATTCTTAAAAGATTTCGTATTTCAACTACCCTGACATTTGTTTATTTTTGATATTTCTAGACATCTTTTATAGAGTAATAAGAATATAATTTATATGAGAACTATAATCATTTATCTTATTAAGCCATTTTTGACAAACATTTAAAGTAATTAAGGTATTCGTAAATGAGTTTTAAGCAGCGCATCCTAATTACACATAAAACTCCCGTACAGGAAATGTTTCGTCTCGTAACTGTAAATGCATTATGTAGTGTTTATTTAAATATAATCTTCTTCTGCCTGGAAATTTCTCAGCTACAGCCAGGGTCTGCCTTACATGTAGTGAATAGTTTTGGCTAATTGTTTTTACGACCGGCCGCCTGCCTGACATCAACCCTTTATTGGAAATGCATTAATCAGTATTGTCTAAATACCCTTAGAAAGTACACATGACTCGGAAAAATTACATTGATACTTGCCAGGCCCAGTATCGAACCCGCGCTCTCGTGGATGAGAGGCGGGCCTTTTAACCACTAGGCCACCACTAACTTATGTTTATTTGAATATTATATTGGTTGTGAATGTTATCAAGGGCCAGTAAAATCAAATAAAAATTTATATGCAAAACCATCGGGCATGAACCGGTTTCGTGAATTCATAATTGAATGTCATGTGTCCTTTTAAAATTAAAATATTTTTTATGCAATAACGGATCATTGATCATGCATAACTATCACGCCAATCCGTTCGCGGCTGCAATAATGTATTTGTATTATAGTTATTTAACATATTATCAGGTTCAGCAAGATAAATATTTTAAAAATAGTACTAATTACAAACAAAACAATTTTATAATTCTTACAAATTATTCACAACAATATTATTATACAAGACTATACATCTTTTTAAAAATAATTAAATGCTTATAATATTAGTACTTCTATGTGAATTTTGATTATTTAATTCAAAATAGATTAACACAATAAAACAAGCTGATTTCTACAATAGTTGTTTATAAAAAATATAATATGTATATTTTACTAGTTGGACGTCCACATTATATAGGTTTAAGTTATTTATCCGATTATAGGTCAGAAATAATAAATTAATTGTAGATGAAGATTCTACTAGTGAGTTTCAATGTTTTAAGTCTTTGAACTATATGTAAAGTTTGAATATGTTTAAAATATGACATAGAATTTTAATTATTGTTTTAATAAGCATATTTTATAAAAAATATATCTACTATATACACTTACAATTTCATTTTATCTGATAATATGATGTGTAGTAAGATGGAAATTAAAAAATTTAAGCTTTGTTCAAGTTAAGAATTTAATAATGGTCCGAGTTTTCTAAATTATAAAGGTAGCGTCCTTCGAGGGTCTCCAGTGAGAATAATTAATGTGTATAAAAAGAGACTCTGCCCTTATAAATAAATATCGAATAAAATTGTTTCGGGAATTTACCTAAAAATATCGACTAAGTGAAATAAGAAGAACTAAAATATTTATATACAAATAATTTTCCGTTACACACGTAAAAATATTAAATCACAATAATTATGAATCTAAACAAAATAAATTTATTTATTTGTGACATTAAATTCAAGAAAAATATGAGATAAAGAACTGCTGAATTTTTCAAAAAAAAATTAATAATCGTAGGCTGTTTTGATCATATCGAAAGATTTTTTATATATATATATATATATATATATATATATATATATATATATATATATATATATAGAAGTTTAATAAATGTTGTGTCAATAACATTTTCTCTAGACAATGTTGAAAAATTCGCAGTTATAAATCAGCATTTATAATATGTCTTGGTTTTCTTTCTGAACTTGCAGAGATCTTAAACAAAGTTTGTTTCAGAATAAGACATTGAAGCGAATCTTTAAGAAATCTTCTAAAGCCAAATAGGTCAGAAGTTGCTATATTCAGCTGCACATAATTAAACAAAAGAATTGAGAAAATTTTGATATCAGCCTTTGGATTCCATATAAAAGTTCACTCAGAGCTGTATATACGTAGGTCTATTTGAAGTCGTGGCTTATTATTGATAGCTGACTTTTGTGGAGACTGAAGATTTTCACAATTACTTGTGGTATGCAACGGTTTAAAGGTCTTCTTCATAGCAAGACAAAAATTTGCGTATATCACTTTTTCTTGTAGCTTTACTTGAATATATTTGTAACATTATATAATGATATTACATCACAATTCCTAAACAAGCTCATGTAACTTCAGAATGTACGTATCAGATTTGTCTTCGGGATACCTAAGTTTGAACTATATATCTGACTTTCGAGGTATATTCGTATAACTGCAGATTGGATTGTTTTGTTGTTCTTGTATGCTATGCCCTGGCAATCTATTCTTTAGAACCTTTATTTCTCTTTTGTACAAGTACGCTTCTACTTTTCAGGTTCCAAAAACTGATTTCACTACAATCTTCGATCTCCTTAAAGCAATATTTTGGAAAAGAATATTCTCTATTCGCAATCTTATAATAACTTTTTAGTTTCAAGTCAGTTAAACTGTGGAACAACTTTTCAAATCACGTCGGTAATTCTAAATCGTTGGCAACTATTAAGCATCGTTTATTCAATTACAGTTTAAATCTTAAGTGAAGTTGTTTGGATATTTTTATTATATAGTTATAAGAGTTCTGAGAATGTGATTGGGTTGTTTATTAATAAAATTTATTTTATTAAATTATTTTTATAACATGCTTTTTTGCAATAATGTATAAAAAAAATATGGATTTAACTAAACAAAGTCACGAATTTTTATAAGCCAAAAACTATTTGCTTCCTTGATTTTATTTGAAGGTGCTTAAATAAAAATTTCAATAGCTGAAAACATCAAAATCCAATAAAATTAGTTTTAAATGTAAAATAGACTAATTTAAGAAATCAACATCACATATAACCTAACAATTAAAGACAGAAGTTTGGCTTACTTCCAGGTCATTAGTAGATTTCCTGAAGTTTTCAATTAATAGTTCCGTCTGTAGTTTTGACCACATTTAGAAACACCTTATCGTATAGTTAAAGGTCGAATCATATTTAGAATAACAATAATTTTTAAGAATAAATGCGAAAAAATTGTATAACAAATCAGTAATTTTTAATTTCAATTCAATTCAAGATACCTAAGGAGTACAAATTGTATACAATCGACGTTAATGTACCAGGTAACATTAAAGCCATTAACGTTACGGAAAATCTTACAACAAAAACCAGAAAGCTGAATTCTCACGCTCGTACTAATGGTAAGGCAAACGACTACACTTCCTACTAGATATATTATTGCAAGGATGTTCTCCAAAAAGCGAAAGTTGCCCTACAAGAAAACATAAAAATCTAAGAATTGATGTACAACTTATAATGTCAGAAAAAAATATTATGTACAATATATAATTTATAATCCCTACTAATATTATAAATGCGAAAGTAACTCTGTCTGTCTGTCTGTCTGTCTGTCTGTCTGCTACGCTTTCACGCCTAAACCACTGAACTGATTTTAATGAAATTCGGTACAGAGATAGAGTTGACCTTGAGAAAGAACATAGGATAGTTTTTATCCCAGACTTTTGAAAGGTTCTCTTGGAAACGCGATATAACCGAACTCCACGCGGCGAAGCTGCGGGCGGAAAGCTAGTTTATAAGAATAATTTTTAATGTCATTGGATACCAAAACATTCTTCTGGTCTATGAAATGTCTGTATAATTAATAGCATTGACTGAACGCTATTGAGAGAATAACATATCTAATGCTATTGAATGAATAATAATTGTCACTGTCAAAAACAAGTTAAACATGTCATTAAAACACACATTATATTCCTTTATATCTATTTCATTTATATTCGATTGTAATAAAAACTTTAAATATCGCATACGTAATCTTATTTGAGCATTAGCTTTTATAAAATAGTAAGTTAAAACAATTTTACAAACTATGTTTTTTATTTGATTAAATATCGACCTATCTGAATCTT